TGATAACTAAAATTGTAATTTATATATAATTTTAATATATATAAAAAAATCCGGTAATTTAATGTAGTTTAGTGTATTTAATTAGTGAAATCTATTTTTAGAAGTAGATGAGATGACTGCTTCTGTGATATTCTAAACCTGATCATCTAAAATGCATTAAAAAAATTTGTTAAAGAATAGAGGCTATATAATATAAAATTGATATATATATTCATATTATTTTTTTTCAACTTGATTTGCATTTATTTTTGCATGTCATGTCTCTGATCACACTATTATAATATTAATAAAATAATATTTAAGTACAGATATTTTTTGATAATTATCATTTCGCATATGAGATTTTAGGATGTGTATACTGATTTATAAAGGATTAACAATGACGAAATGCAATATATAATTATTAATAAAGATCTGAGATTATTTTTCTTATGAAATTTGCTCTTATAAAACATAGCTATTTTTGCTTAAGACAAAAATACAATTCACCTAATATGTTGAGTTCTGACAAACTATCATCTCTAATCAATCTCAGAATCTTTGCTTATAATATTCTTAAAAGTCTCAAAGATAAGACTATTAGAGATAATGAATTTCTAAAACTAAGGTCATGCATTGAATGTGATAACAAGATTCTTTCATTACCTTTTAAGGCATTAATTTTATTTAGTTGTAAATATGCATTTTACAGACTTTATATTGAGAAAAAACTTTTACACGCTAAAATAGAAGTATAACTATTTGCTGATTATAAGAGAGGTATAGATATTATTAAAAGTATAAATACTAGACAAGACTCTCAGTCAAGTACTTTTACTGTAGCTGGTAGTATGAATAAGCAAACTGAAAAAATATCTTCAGAAAACTCCTCAGGATGACAAGATAGACGTAAATGGAGCTAGTGAAGATATCAATAATAGAGATAATGTGAAAAAAGTAAAATATAATCTGAAAAATCAGGTTTTACTTCTTCTAGTACTAAAAATAAAAAGTGAATAACAAATTTACAGATTCTTCATCTAGCAAGAAATCTAAAAAACATGTTCTACCAGAAGAATCTAACGTTTAAAAAAGCTTATTTAAAAGCTATCTTCTGATAATACTTCACTTTTTAAAATCAAGAAAAAGAAAGAACTCTATAGGAAATACTTACGAGAAGTTGAAGATGACCAAATTTTTTTGAATTGTATCTAAAATTTTTTAATGCTAAAGAGCAGAATGAAAATATACATCATGAATTGATTATTGCATATTATCTTTTCAGAGAAGAGTTAGAGAAGTGTCTTGTTTACTATAGAAAAACAGATGAAGATTACAAGGTCACAAAGAAAGTCTATAACAAAGTTAAAGATCAGCTTCCCAAAGAAGTTTTCAAGAATGCTATCTGAATGAAGTCAGACAGGTTGAGAAAGATTTATGATTTTTTTTTCATATTAATGATGATAAAATTCAAAGAATAACACTTATTTAACGAATAAAAATATTTTTAGCAACATCTATTTTAAATTTAAGTGATAATAATATCAAATATATTATGATTCAGGTTAGAAAGAAGATTAGACAAAATTAAATAAAAGCACATGATAATAAAATTGTTAGATCAAGTCATAATGATCACTTCTCAGAATTTAGAATTTTTTTATATATAGTATTATAAAATATAATTATTATTACGCATATTAAAATAATTAATAAAGCTTCTTCAGCTAATTTTTTAACTAATACAAATCATGAGAGATCCACAAACTACATATAAATATAAAATTAACTTAGCCAATAGGTAACTTTATATAAATTTCTGATATGCTTATAATCAAATAAAAATGAATTTAGATTTAACAGTATATAATCAACTCTTGTTATAACAAACTCTATGTCTTAGACCTCAACTTCACTATAAGGCTATAGTGAAGATTTTAAGAGATTTGATTGGCCAATTCGCTATAATAAGAGTATTTTTATTATATTTGTTTAAAAAATTCATTATATCAAGAGTTCACTATATTAAGAGTTGACTATATAGTTTACTAAATCAGTTACAAATTTGCTCACTCAATCAAAGATTTTAAGGTATTCATTAAATATATTTTCAAAAAAAAGTCAAGAAAAAATTTTCTCTCACAGTTTAATAAAACAAGGGAGTATAAATCTGTATAAATTTAAATTAAAGGTAGTGCTACAACTAGTTACAACTATATAATGTTTATTTGTCACCAGTTGCAACTAGTTGCAACTCAATTTTTATTAATGTTACAACTAGTTACAACCTTATGATACTTATTTGTTACTAGTTACAACTAGTTATAGCATTATCTTTAATTTGAATAATAATATTATCTAGTATAAGTTATTAAAGAATTACTAGAATTTGCTAAAATACTATAAAATCATTATAATCTGTTATAATCTAATAAAACGCTAATATGAATTTAGATAGTAGAGCCTAATATAAACTAGTTAATATAGGCTATAATGATGTAAACTTCAAAGAATATAGAAGAATAGCGTATTCTAATCTAGCCTAATCACTAATAAATTATCTACTGATTTAGTAAAATCAAAGACCACAAAATTTTGATCTTGCAGGTGTTTGTCAATAATCTTGAATGCCTTTTTCAGATCATCTGTATATTGACATATAATCCTATATATATCTTTTTTAGATCCATTCTCTCAGAATATAATTTAGATAGAAAATATTTTTATGAATTATCTTTGGTATAACCTGATATTTCTAAATTACATATATTAGTGAAATATTTGATACTAATTATTAATAAAGTAAGGAATAATGTACTCTTGTATTTTTTTTGATTCAGCACATAGATCTTCAAAAATAATAATAGTGCTTCTTTTTGAAGAGAACTAATTGAATTCTAATTGTTTATAGAATTGTCTTATTAAAGTTTATAAATTTTATCAATCAAATGCATAATAGGATTGTGAATTTTGCTGATTAATTGTATAATTTTACATGATAATTATCAACAAATAATTAATTAATAGTTATTTAATTATATTTTATAGGAGAAAATTCTCACAATCTTGAGAATTTTTAAGTTATTTTTTTTTGTTTATAAATATCTGCCTAAAATTTTCTTCTATTTTCTTTAAAATTTTACCTTTTTCCTAAATTATTGCAAAATTTTTAGACTTTACTAATATTTTTTCAACTTTTCAATTTTAACATTTTATATTTTTTTTATTTTCATTATAGACAAGCAACAATAAAACATTTCTTTATCATCTATTAAGTTGCTTTTTTAAGAGAATATTAAGAGTATATTAACAATTTGAAGATTAAAATCATTATCAACAACAGAAAATTATGAGACTAATTAATAAACTGATAGTTTTTTCTTCTTATTTAGATAATAAAGATAAAGAATTTATAAACTTGAAGTTTCTTTATAATAGTCTTTGATAATGTTTCAATAATCTTTAATAATGAATAGCTTTGATTATTAAAAGAAAAAAATAATTCTAAGAGAAAGTAATTTATTTTTAGCAGTTATTTTAAGAAGTAATTATATAACTGCATTAGAAGAGTCAAGTGTTTCACTTTTTTTATTATGTTCGTAATAATTAATGATTACTAATATTAATGAAAAAAAATATTTTATATTTTATCAGGTCTATATTTACACTTATTATATATTTCTTTTAATATATGACTTATACCCCCTTTTCTTTCTTCTATCATATAGTTTTTATTTTGAGTTTTTATTTTTCTTTCTCTTTAATATAGCTTTTTAGAATAGTCTTCTTTTGTTATATTTTTTCTATATTTTTGAATTTTATGTATTTTTTTCTCCTAAAATTATAAATAAAATTTTGCATATCATTGTGCTTTTGTTCTTTAAACTATAAAATATTCCAATAAAATAATGATTATAAAATATGTATGTTTTTTTATATCACATGATATTAATTTCTAAATTTTGATTATAACAATTTTGTATTTCCATTTCAAGATCTGGCTCTTTTAACATTAAGTTCTATTAAATTAATTCATTGAGTTCATCAATTTTATCACCATTTTCAAAATAATATGATTTTCAAAATTGCAAAAATAATATTAATAAAAAAATTCAAATTTTAAATTTTTGTAATATTAAGATCTGGCAAATTATGTACTAATACAATTAAAATTTCATGATCATAATTTTTTTTGCATAAAAATGTCTTCTATTTTGATTTTACTAAAATACTATCAAATTAACGCTTGTTTTATATATCAATTATGTATGTATTATGATATAAATTTAATATTAGACAACTGTAATTGTCATAAAGACATCAAACCAAATTATATTTTCAAAATTTAATTTACAAACTGAATAAAATACATGAAAAAATGAAAAATATTTTATTATATAATAACTAAAATTATAATTTTAAGTTGAACATAAAATTATCACATCATTTTACACTTTGTTCTACATGTAAATAGTTAAATTAACTGAGATGCTAAAATAGTTGATAAAGAATAAAAAAATAATTTTACCAACTAAGGATAATTCTTCTTAAGAACAATCATAAATAAAATTCAAATTACAAATATTTATCAAATAAAATAAACAAACATTACCTTTTGTAATAGTTAGTTTTATTTTGAAAAATTCAAGTTTTATTAAATTTAAAAATGTATTTGAAATACATATCTGTGAACAAATTGGGTTAATTTATTAAGATGAATATAATTTGGCATATAAATCAAGTTTAGAAAGTAGAGCTAAAATACTTTTGAATAGTAAAGAAGTATTTGATAAATTTTTGAAAGATTATCAGATTATGATATTAGGAAATAAAAAAGTAATGATTATTATTACATTTAAAGAATCATCTAAGAAACATTTTCATCAGATATTTATAATTTTATAATTTATTATTTATTTTAAAAATTATTTATTAAATTGTTTTATATTGTTAAATTTTATTTATAAGATGAAATTTCAAAACAAGAATCTGATAATGAATTGGAAAATGAGAATTATTCTTGTCAAAAAACTAAATCTAATAAACTAATAGTATTAAAGAAATGAATTAAAAATCATATACCAAAAGAAGCCAATTTAGATGAAAATAAAATATTAGTTAAATGACAAATACATCTGTAATATTAAAAACCATAAATACTGTTTAATTAAAGATAATCATCATTTATCTTTAAACAATTTTGCAATTAGCTTATGGGCCAAGAAAATTATATATAATTTTTAATAATTATTATACATTAAATATATTAAATTAATTTGTTAATTAGTATTTTCTTATTATAGGTAAATAAGAATGCAGATTTAAATACCCCTTCTAATCATGCTTTATTCAGTATAATGCATTCAGTAAAAGTAACTAGAAAAAATTCTTTGTCTGATGAATTTACTTAATTGTATCAATTGTTATATCCATCATCATCACCATCACCATTACATTCAACACCGTCACCTTTATCACATAATAATTCTGTTTATAATTCTGATATCCAAAGTAGATCGTACAGTTTATCATTAACTTCAGATTATAGTTTATTTTCATATATATCAGATCATAATTTACCAAAGAAAGTTGCACCAAGTATGAAAGATTTTTTAGAAGGATTAGATAAAGAATTTGATGATGGTAAATTGAATTGTTATTTGTCTATTTTTGAAGAACAAGAAATTCGTATTAGTCATCTTACAAAATTATCAGATTCTGAATATATTTTGATGGGTATAACAATTATTGAATTTAAGCAATTATTACGTGATGAAGCAAAAAAAATATGAATAATAATTTTTTTTATAATAAATGGTTTATTTGTATATATTTTTAACAAAATTTCAAGTGTAAAATAAAAATATTATACATCATAAACTGGATTCTTCGAAATACTTTTTTACTATTTCTGGTGTAGTTTGAGCTAATGCAACTAAAATTAAGTATTGAAGGGAGCAACAGAGCGTAAAATTTTTGACAAAGTAAAAAACGATGTTACGATGTCAAAACTTTTCAATAATATAGTAATCTCGGAATTCGAAGCACGTCGGCATTTATTTGTATATGGGTTAACAACATTCGAGACCGAAGTCTCGCTAACCATGATGGATTTTCGTAGTATGTATTTCTCAGTAATTCACATAAAATGTTCATGAAATTTTAATAATTTAAAAATAACAATTTCAGACACACATCGGATTTTTGAAGTAGACCATTTCAGTTTGCCAAGAGACTGGATTGAAATTCCAAATTTTGTTTACTTGTATGAATCATTAATCACGTGGGCCGTAAGCATTTTTAATCATTTCTCTTTCTGTCATGTCCCCATTTAGGGAATCATAAAATCTTTTTCTTTTTTTTTGTAAATATAGTTATGTGTCAATGAAACCAGAAATGGTTTAATTGAACAAAGAAAAAAACGACGAATCACTCGGTGCTCAGAAGCTCGTATTGCGAAAAGATTGGCACTGCCGAAATGAAGAGTAGGTAATATCCTTATTATGATGAATATCCATTGGTCCTCTTTTCTCTTAAATGGCTTTCAGAAATTAAATAAACATATAAATAATATGATCGATCCTATGAATTAAATTTTTCAAATGAAATAAGCATATGTTTTTTAATATCATAATTGCTGCTTTAACTGCTGCTGATATCGGAAGTTCCATTCAATTGATGCGTTAATTTTCTTTAAAGACAAATAATTTATTACATTACCAAGTTATCATTTTAAAAACCTACATATATTTCTTAATAAAAAACAAGATTGAAAGAAATGAAACACGAATTTACCCAATTGATTCTTCATCGCAATTGAAGAAATTACCCAAATCAAGTTTGATTTCTCGTCACAATTGAAGAATCAATTATTCCGAACCCCTCTCAAAATAATTCCGTTTAACTTTCTCGTGGAAGATACTTACTTATTCAATAAAAAAGAAAGTGAAAAAAACCAAGTATTTTGACCAAGAGAGGTTTGTCTTCGCAGAAAGAGGAGGAAGGAGTATCCTCGGACAGTTTAACATTGCCAATTGCATAAAAGGAAATACTTACTTTATGATATAGAAAGGAAAAAGTCAACATAAAGCAATAGACCCAATAGACACTTGGAAGAAATTATTATTTTCTTTTTATTATTATTATGTGAGAGAGACTGGTACCAGTATTTCATTAAATTTTTTTTTGGAGGTCGATCATCAAATTCCTTATTTCGTAAGTTTGAAGTCTATAAATGGATTAATTTCAACCCAATTATAAGGAATAAGGGGGTCTAGCTCAGATGGTAGAGCGCTCGCTTAGCAATGCCTTGTTTGCGAGAGGTACTGGGATCGATACCCAGGTCCTCCAGTTAAAATTTTTTTTTAGGTTTTTTGCTATCCATGGAATTTACATGAAAAATTTTATACGGCTATTTAAAGAATTGAAAAGGGGTCTCTCGAAAATTTTTTATTTTATTCAATCAAATAGCATTTTTATTAATTATTTATGATAATTTTGCGAAATTTGATAAACATTATATTAATATATTAACAGTTCCTTTCATTCGGTGAGCTAATAAAAAGTCAGAGAAAAATTAATAAGAATTATTAAATATGCAAAAACAATATTTAAAAGCGAGATTATTTACCGCCATGGAACTCCTAATGCGTCAAAGATTTCCTGTTCTGTTTTTTGAGCAAGTAATCTTCCTTCATTATATTTGACTCCACCATATCCACGCGAAACATTCATATATAATCCATGTTGATTTAGACACATTTTCCTTTTTCTGGCCATCAATCTCATACTTCTATTGAATATATCATTACCAGTGTATGAAAGTAATGCGGCACCTATTTCATTATAAGGTACCGTAAATAAATCTATCATGGAAAAAGAGAACAGATAGTTTAAGTCAACTGGTTACGTTATTGATAAAGATCCAATTTAAATAAAATATTGCATAAACCTAAACGTCTATGTATTCCTTCGGGCAGTTTACAAATTCCCATGAATTTTGCAGAAAGACTATCTCCATCATGACGTGTTAATTCATGTGTTAAGAATCCTTGATTACTTAAGATTTCAACCAATTTGGTTAAAACACCTAAATGGATTTATCAGGATTGAAAATTATTAAGGTATTTAAAAATACAACTTTGAAATTTCAAGTGTGAATAATTACCAAGATGATTCTTTCCATCAGAATCATTCCTTGTGATCATTATATCAATATCTCCACAGTCTGGTCTTCCTCGTCTAAAAGATCCGGTTGTGATACATTCAAGCTTGTAATCAATAGAAAGTGCTGCACTTTTTACCCAATCCGAAATTTTTTGTACTTCTTCTCTGGGAATTCGTTTTTGTAAATCCTATATATTAAATATTTCATTTTCCTTAGGAAAAAATAAAATAAAATAAAAAAATTTGAAGTACATGGAATAAATAAACTTACGTCATAATACAATATTCCCGTTATTTGGTTATGAGTTAATTTTTCATTTTTCAATACGTCCTCAAAAGTCCTATACCCTTTTGCGTACCACTTCATCGCTACTGATGATCCAACACCTTTCGAATTTGAATTTTGCGATGAGAGTTAGAACACGAGTAATTTTCACATTCAATTTTAAAAACTTAACGAATATTAGCCTACCATAAACAAAACTGAATTTTTTGATTATGTTTTCACCTTCCGAGAAATGGTTTATTCTCCTTAAGTTTCCGGTATCAATTATCTCTGCAATCTACAAAACAAATAAATTAACAAAACCTTCTACAAAAATATTATATATGACGGAAATTTCCATACATACCTTTTCTGCAGTGCGTGTTCCTATTCCGGAAATTTTTCTAGCCTCTTCGTACGAGGTAATTGGTTTTGTACGTTTCTTAATGGCAGAAATAGCTTTGCGATAACTGATCATTCTCCATTCATCTTTCATTCGAGTATAGTGATCCAATAATATTTGCAGCTTTTGTTAAGGATGAACTCATTAAAATTAATTTATATTAAATATTTAAATATCATTTGTAGTAACATTGAATTTACCTTTTCGATTATCATTTTATTTGGGTTATTGTTGGTTTCTTCGTACTTACTGCTATGCATACACGCAAATGAATTTTGTCCTCGAAAATTCTAAATTTTTTAATTTTTTTTAAAAAAAAAATTATTGACGTTAAATAAATAATGAAAACAAATAAATTATAACCTCTGGTTTAACGGATGATGGTTCAGCATTAATATCAACGGGGTTTTCAAGTTCGTCAGAATTTGTTACATCTGTTGTTATTTCCCCACTGAAAATTTCGACTTTCAATTCATCATTTGAATCAGAAGTTGTAATTTCGTCTTGCATACTTTCATTCTCATTTTCTCCTCCTTCATCAAGATAAAGTCCCTATATAATAAAAAAAATCGTTTAAATATATTAATCTTTTTAAACTTTAATAACATGAAAATATTTTACAAACCGATTCTGTAAGCTTCTTTGCTTCAACAATCATTTCTAATAATGGATCATTATTAACAATTATATCATTGTTGACAGAGCTTGTATAATTCATATCGTTGTTTATGTCTGATTCTAATAATGAATCATCATCCTTCATAACATCCGTTGGGGAAGGTGAGAACTTTTGTAACCGTTGCCTTTTCTTGTCTAATACTTCGTAGCTATTGCTTCCTTCTTGTTCTCCGTCTTTTTGCTCGTTATTAGATCTCTTCAAATTTTGAGATGATTGTGAACCTGCGATATTTGAGCTGTCAATGGATTCTTCCGTCAGTGATACGGCGTAGGATTCAACATACATGAGTTTTCCGTACTAAAAAAATTTTTACACGTTATAATTAACTTGTTAACTCGTTTTTCTTTCGTTCGATTATAAATTAATATGAATTCTTTACCATAATTGACTCGGAAATCCAATTCGGCCTAACTATTTTGACATTCTATAATCATATACCGGAATTAATTTTTATCTAAGATTTATATATATATATATATATATATATATTGATGATTTTACCTCAAACCTTTTTAATTTTCGAACGCCAAACATCGCTATCAATTGTTTCCCACTTAATTCTGTTATAATATGCGTAAGATTACCATCGAATTCAAAATTTTCTTCTATGATCCCTCCTTTATCTAAAACTTTTGATTTCATTAAGTTCAGGCGAAGTTTATCAATATTATTCGATATAAATAAAATTCGCAAATTTGAAAATATTCCTTTGTTAGATTTTGGCAATCTAATTGATTGTTCAGTGCCAACATCTATAATTTTCTTTCTCTTTGATTTAGTTAAGTTCTTTGATTGCGATGATTTTAATTGCGATTTTGACGCAAATTTTTTCATATTTTCATGCGATTTATGTTGCTTCTTTGTTTTACCACCCGACTTAACACTGCTATTTGGTATCACAATTTCATAAACTGCCTTTTTATTTTTATGAATGTTTTGTGGTTTTAAAGATAAAATGGAAAACTTTGACGCAGTTGACGGAGGTCCGCCAACGATAGGAACACCGTCAACTGGTTTGGCGTTTACTTCTTGGACCTTTTCCTCATTATCTGAAATCGGCAAAGCATCGCTCTCTTGTGATAATAAGTCGAGTGATGTCATTTCATTTACAAATGATGAGCTTACGGAAGATGGTACATTCTCCCTTTCCATCTCGTATTCTTCGTCTCTATATGATACTAAATTTCTTCTCTCCAATTCTTGCGACATGCTTAAAGACTTGTAAGATAAAAAAATTATGTTATGGAGAGATAACGATTTTTTTACTTTTAAACGTTTAAAAAGCACACACTTTTATCAATGTGTAGTTCTACTTAATTTAGTAAAAAAAGTTTCTTTTAAATGCAATATGTACGAATGCTGCGTAAAAACACTACTATTTCACAGATCACTTACCAATTTGATATCACAATGAAATACCAATAATAATAATTTATAATTTATTATGCTAAAAAAATAAAAAAAAGGAAATGATTAAATAATAAACCTCATGAAAAAGAGAAGGGTAGTTCATCGAAAAGGGAAAGTGTAGCGAGAGCAAGAGTCCGACCACTGTCCAGCAGAGCCTTTATTTATTGATCATCACAATATTATGTATTCTAAACTGCGTAACAATCATTTTGACGTCATATTATATATTTATGATTATTATAATACAGAAAAAAAAAAAAGACGCAATAAGATATAAAATCTTGATCAATCTAATACATCGTTATAAAAGGAAAACGTGAATTATTACCATTATTTATATTCTATTTCATGTGGCAAGTCGATTATCAAAGATTAAAAATGCGTTTTCGCCTTGATAAGCAGAAATTATTATTGGTTTGCGTTATAGATAACGGTCTATGCCCGTACTCGGCCGAACAGGTTGGTTATTTGAATATACGAGTACAAACGGGCGTCATTAGTCGAGCAATAATAGGCAATCCAACATAGTGTCCGACATGTATTCTTTGTGTTCCTTGTTTGACATAGTACGAATTAAATAATTTATATCCATAGATCTTTTTTTATCATTACATTAGTATATCAAATTTTATTTTATAAAAGTTTTATTTATTAATATTTTATATAATTTGAAAATTAAAGCTAAATTCAAATACTAATATAATAATAAATTTTATATAATTTAATAATTAGTAAAAAAATATCTTTTATTTTTTCTTATTTTTTTTATTTTAAATAAAAAATTTTATTTGATATTATTTAACATTATAATAAAAATTTTTATATTTAATTTAATTATTTATTGTTTTCATTAATTAGTTTTTTAGTAAAACTTTTTTTTAATAATATTTAATGGGATTTTAATCTGCAAAATGTGTTATATAATGGGTGACAAATAAAATTTTTCTATAAAAATTTTAGTCCTCAAAATAAGCTATAAATGAAATATATATGGGTATGATGTGTTGTAATAAATTATCTCTAAGCTTAACTTCTAATCTAACTTTAGCTCTACTTTAATATATATAAATATAAGGATACATTTGTGTAAGATGTGCAAAATACATATTTCTATATTTAATTATTAAAATTTAAATTTTTTTAATTTAAATAAAACTTGGTTAAAATAATTAAATTATAATAATATAAGTTTAATATTAATTAGATTTCAATGATAAAAAATAATGAAAAAGTAAATAAAAAGTAAATAAAAATGAATTTTAATTATTTTTTTTTAGTTATATTATTATTTTATTAAAATTTAAATTTTAATCATAATACTTTTTTTTGAAATTCTTTATCTTAAAATCAGAGATAAGTTCTTAATAAAGGAAGGGTAGGTGGGTTTGTTAAAATTTTTTAGAAGAATAAAAAAAAAACTTACCTTTTTGTAAGTTCTGAACCTCCTGAATTGAAATTGGATCAGAAGTAAGTTTTTTTAATAGAGAATTTTTGTTAATTATAAAAATAAAGGATAAAAATAAAAAAATAAAATTAAACTTATTTTTGTAAATGGTTTGACTTTGATCTCTGTAATAGCCTCTTAAGATTTTCATTTTTTTTATTATTATTAACATTCTTTTTTCTTTTTTCTTTAGAGAACGCCTTCTTAAATTTGATTTTTAATTTAGAATATGAAAAGGTAAAATAGTGATTTTTTTTTGTTATTGAGAATATCATTAATATTTTTTTTTTTTTTTTCTTTAGAGAATATCTTTTTGGATCTGGATTTTAGCTTAAAATATGAAAAGTAAATTAAAAGAAAGTGATTTTTTTTTTTTTTTTTATCATTAAGAATGTTATTAACATTCTTATTTTTTTTTCTTTAGTGGATGCTTTTCTGAATCTGGATAAAAAATTATTCAAATAATATAATTTATGATTTGATTTTTTTTTGTTTCTTTATAAAAAAGTTTTTTAAATATTTTAATTAAAAATATTATTGCATTTTTTATCATAAAATATTTAATATTTAATTTAATAATATAATTTTATTTTAAATAATATATAATTTATTTTTTTTATTTAGCTAATTTTTTTGGTTTATTAATAAAAAATAATGGATAATATACATCCTTATTTTAATAGATCTTAAATATGTTGACGTATTTCTTCATAAAGATACTATTACCATTCTGATATTAATCCTTTATCTATTTTAGAAAATGATAGAAAATTTATATTATATCCTTTATTGTCAAATTTATCATTAGAGATCCTTTATTTACTGCTGTTTTTATTTTTACTATACCTATTTTATTTTGACTTAGTATAAAATAATGTTACTTTTTAATTTGTAAGATAATATTAAAATAATTAATTAAAAATTCAGTCTAGTTATAAAAAAAACACTTTATTATCCATTATTATTAAAAATAAATTGTGCTATGTTATATCTATCAGTAGTTAATTTATTAACTACTTTAATTAAATCCTTCATATTATCCACTTCTGAATATCATAACTTTAATTTAAATAAACTAAAAAATTCATTAGCGTAAATTTGGTATATCCTGCTATTATAAATGAGTATATAATTTTTATCATACAAATTATTAATAATACGTCATGTTAGATATATAACATTGCATTGTTCTTATTCTGTCCTAAACAATTATCTGCATGAATTATCACCTTTTTTTACCTAATCTATGATTTTTAAAATAATAATGAATTAATAAAATTGTTGTATCAGCACCTTTTCTAACATTTTCTTCTGCTGAAATCAAATAATTTACCTAATATAAAAAATAAATTAACATAAAATTAAAAAATAAAATTATATTAAAATAATAAATTATTTATTTGTCTTAGAATTTCATCTTCACAAATACCAAAAATTTGCACTTTATAAAGATTTTTAAAATAAGTTGCTTCCTATTTAAATAATAAATCTAATTAAACTTTATAAAATAAAAAATTATATATTTAATTTAATTAATATTTCTTATTATGAAGAGTATAGGATTTGAACAACTTCTGCAAAATTTCAGAATATGTGATTTTTAAAATCTTAAGTATTAGGTATATCTGGTTGTAAAGTATTTTAAAGTCTTTTAATGCTTCTTTAGAATTTGCCATACAATTTCTATATAAAGATAAAAAATTTAGTAAACTAAATAAATAAAATAAAAGATTTTAAATAAAATTTACCTAAAATTTTCTCTTTCTAATTGAGCCCAAAAAATATGTTTATTTTATTCTTTTATTTTTTGTTTTATTCCTGATGCTGATCACATTTGAGAATTAAATTGCATCAATTTACACTTATAACATAAGTCACTGTAAGGTAATAAAACTTTATATTTGGTATATATTTTTGCCATACTCGACAAAATGTTTGAACACTTATAATTAAAGATTCATTATCATCAATATCATTTTCTATTATATTATTATATAATCTTCAAAGTAATGAATAACTTTCACTTACTGGTAAATATACAATTGCAGTTATTTCTTCTTGAAAATGATAGCCTATTTAAAAAACATTAATAAATTTTATCAATTAAATAAAGAATTATTTTACTATTAACTAAAAATTATTAAATATTTAATAAAAAAGTACCTGATGATAGAAGTTCATGAATATTTATATAATTACTTATAAATGTTAAAATTTGTAAAATAGTTTTAAAGGTACTGCATTATTACTTTTTCTACCAGTCAAACTATATATAATCAGACTAACATCATAATCAATATAATGTTTACATATTGTTTTTCATTTTTTTTTACCAACACCATAAATTATTAAAAAAACTATTATACATATTTTGATTCCTTTAAAGTAATAATCACTAGTTAAATATACTTTATTCTTATTTTTTCTGTTTTATTTATATAAACATTTACACTAAGTATTCCTAATAAAAAATATATTTTGTTAATTTTTATTTAATTTTTGAAATAATTGAAATTTTTTAGTTGCAATTTCATAATTAATGATATTATTAATTAAGTACTCTTTTGAATAATAATGAGTGGTTGTAAATTTTTTTTGGAATGTTTCAACATCTTGTTTCATTAATTTATCATTAAATTCTTCAGATACTTTACTTTTCTCATAATATAATGGATCTTTATTCCAAATATCATAAAATTTCTCAATTTGAGAATTAGTAAAATTGAATAAGATGTATCATCATCTATAAGAAATGTACTTTTTTCATAATTTTCAGAAATAGTATTATTATCATAATCAATATCAAATTTATATTCATCTTATAACTGTTCTAAAACACTATTTAATTTATAAAGTTCTGAATAAATATCAATAAAAAGATTTTAATTTTGAGACATTTTTTTTTTTAAATATTATATAAATTGTTAAAAAAAAAAATACTTTAATTTGAGAATAAATAAAGTTGATAAAATTTTAAAAGAAACTATTTTATTTAATAAAATGCTTAAATTTATAAATAATAAATATAGATAGAAAATTAAAATAAAATTATAGATAGATAAAAGATATTTTTATTTCCATTTTTGTTTATATTATTTAAATTATCAAAAAAAAGATACATTCTATTTTTATAATAACTAGTTAAAAAAAAGAAAGTTATATTAAACTTTATTTATTTTTTTTATTAATAAATTTAAATTATTAGAGAAAATTAAAATGGGAAAAATTTTGTGATTAAATATATTATCCAATACTAATTCAATTAAATTATATATAATTTGTATAACCTGATATATCAGTATATTACAAATTAATAATAGAATAATGTAATATAATTAATATTATTAATTTATTA